CCCCCCCCCCCCCCCTTTTTTTTTTTTTTTTTTTACAAACCATCCGTAAAGTGACGTACTTTATGGACGGCCCCTAGCAGAGAATTACATTAATGATTCTTAGGACATTTAGGCTTACTTACCCCTGTTCCCTTTTTCTCTAGAAATCCTTCAATTTCAGGGCCGATGTAGAGTCCTGATTCACGGAATGAAAGGTTCGTGGTTGCCGTGTCTGCCATCATTTAATATTTAAGTCCTATGGTATGGGCATGTGGGGTGGCCAGTATCTGGTAACACCCGAAGCCAACAAAACTGACAAAAGCAATAACAACAAACCTAACTGGGTAGTGTCACGTACAGAGCTTGTTTTTATTCCATCATTAGCGAAATCCTTAACAATTCATAACTCACTTAATGTCTTAGATCTATTTGAACAATCCACGAAGCACTGCAAGGATGATTGTAATCCACTACAACGAAATAGGCCCTCCTTCGTAGGTAGCCCCACAGTCACACGGTGTGGGTGAACTGCTATTGCTTCTAAAAGTAAAACTTCCTGGACCAAATCTGGTTTCTATACAACAGATACAACACGCCCACATTTAGCAAGGGAGGCCACTCTTCTTGCTAAGCGCGGTTTCGCCTGAAGGGTATTTTCCCATTTTAAATTTAGCCTTGTTCTAAGAAATCATTCATGGCTGGCTGGTTTGGGTGAACTGCCTTAGGTCGGGCGCTGCCAGGCAAAACGATTTGCCCTGTATTGTTACAAATATAATTCATTGAATACACTTTATACACAGATGAATTACTATAACGTAGATTCTGTTCCCCGGTGTGGCCCTAGGCAGTCGACATTTTGGGGCCCCCATTAGTCATTAGACCCCTCAGGCGACGCCACCCGCCGAATACGCCACCGAATTTTCGTCCGCCAAAAATCCACCGGAAAATATGCGCCGCCCCGCATTAGCCGCCCCATTAGCCGCCCCATTAGCCGCCGTATTTCGTCCGCCGTAAATCCGCCGAAAAATGAACGAGTCGCCGTGACGTAATGTTCTTTTGGAAAGTGGGGGGGGGGGGGCCCCCCGGGCCGGCATTTATTTTTTTTTTTTTTTGGAGTGGCGGCCTTTTTGGTCAACTGGGTTGTTTTTATCCAGGCTGGTGGCGGCAATTACTATTTATCCTATTATTATCAGGCAACGGAACCATGAAAATAGGGCTTTAATGGCCTTTTATTCAGACCCAGCTGAAGAGAAATCAATGCGCCCGCTCCTTACAAAGCTCTCTCTACTTCTGCTCGGTAGCCTAAGCTCCCTCGATTTATGATGAAAAAAAAACAAGTTCATATAGGGCCGAGATGCATCTCTAGATTTCGAATTAAAATGAAATCTGCAGTGCCCAGCACCCTTTAATTAAAAAAAAATTACTGTACATATTTTACGTAGGATTATATCGTTTTAGTAAATTTAATCTGTTAAAAGATTTTGCTCGTCTGAGTAACAAAGATCTGAAAATCAGTAAACAATGGAAAAAAAAAGGATAACAAAGCTAGGGACACTAACAATATTCAATTTAATTGTAGGCCTACTATTACATTTATATCAAATACAAAATAAAAAAACAGAAATAAAAACTAGACTACATCAACTTAAGCACACCAAGAGAAAAAGAACAATCTTCGAAAGATAGAATATTAATTTACACATTCACACAAAATGATAAAAACATTGTAAGCATTATAAATTATGTCTCGTAAATGTCGAAGGATAAAAAATTGTTCTCCCGGTTGGGAAAGATTCCGGAGAAAGTTGTAATCCTCAAGAAAGATTTTCTAGGAATTGCATCACCCGATGGCATTCTTTAGTATTCTAACGCAAACAACATTTTCCCAAGCAAGGGAGGGGTGTGTAAAAAAAAAAAAAAGCGCTACACATTGACATATAATCGGTGACGTTACTTAAAAAAAAAAAGTGGGGAAGGACCTCGGAAGGGAAAGTGGAAGTAAGTTTGAATGTCACGACTGGTGGTGAACAAAATTAAGTGGAAGTAAGATTGAATGTCACGACTGGTGGTGAACAAAATCTAGGTCAAAATACACGGGCTATAACAATATCATATTGTATGATATAATATAATGCCTATTATTTATATATAAACGGAAGGTTTGTGGGGGGGGGGGTGCAATTTCAAGGCTTGTTTGTTTGTAGTTGACCGAAAATGTGGTCCCTATTGATGTGCCTTCCGTGGACGTCCTCCTATGTCACCGGCACTTAATGTCACACAATTTTCCAATTATAACATAGGCATCGGCCTACTGATTACGTATCACGCTTTTATTTCATATTCGGATTATTTATATAGGCCTATATATTAAATAAGATCTTCTCGGAAAAAAGGATAATAAATGAAGGATTGCGTTCAATCTGTTTGAATTAAATAGTAGAAAAATGTATGTGGAAGCTTGAATTGGAATAAAAAAGACAGGAAAATTCTCAGAAAAGCTATCGTAAGTTAATATAAAATATTTGTTTCGTGGTAACGTGTTCTAAGTGGAAGTAATAATTTTAAAATCCTGTAGGTAATTATAAAACATGTCGACCTTTCCCGGAATAAGAACCTTCGTTAAAAACGTAAGGGACATTGCATCAAACATTGTTTCCGAAGTGAGTAATTCCAACACCGATCTAGTAATGTCAGACTATCATAATGAGGTGACAAGAAATCAAGTGATTGCCAAAATAGTTTCAACTGTGATCGGCGTGGCTGCATCTTTCACTCTGACTTACTTTGGAATCAAATGGCTGACTGATGCAATGGACCCAACGAAAAAAGAAAAGAAAGTTGCACAAGCTGAGGTAGTATTAATAAATTAAATAAGTACATACTTAGGAAATATTTTTAGAGCTATTCTATAAATTTCAAATGATTTTATGTTATCGGTATTATTCATTCAAACCATCATCGAGCCAACAGCTAGCCCCGGGCTAGGCTGGTAAAAAGTCAATCTTTGGACTTTCGAATGTTCATAAAAACTGTTAACTTAACTGAAGTAAAGGCAAAGGGCTCAAGTTTATTAATTTTAAGCCATAAGGCAACTGAATTCACTTATTTGTTATGTAGGCAGGACATTATCATATGACTTAAACTAAAACATTTATTATCTAGACTTAAGAGGCCTCAATACAAATTTAATACAAATTAAATTAGTTACCAATTACAGAGTTAGGCTAGGACTAGGAAGACTGACAGTGGTAATCTTAAGTCTAGGCTCAGGTTTGGGGTTCAAGTTTGACAAGTGTTGTTTCACCCTAAGTGCTGTTACTGTGACATCACCAAAAGGGGAATCCCAACACTTGACTTTGGATAAATAGAACAATGGTTGGAACTGAACAATGTCAATGCGCATGAAGTGTGATAACTTTACCAATTGCTTCATGGAATAAATCTGACAATCAATTAAATTTCTATGAAAATTATTAAAATGAATAAATGCCAATAGTAAAAACTAGGCTAATAATTTAGGAAACGTTTTTGTTTAATTTAAAGAAAAAAAAGTAATATTATAAATTTATGGATATGTTATTTCAGCGAATGTATAATAATGTAAAGAAGTGCAATTTGAGAAATAAATGCAATTTGAGACCCAAGTGCTTTTTCACTTGTGTCTTTCTTAGTAATGGAGCCTTACGACCCACCTTTTTAAATTGGGTAATCTATAAAATTGATAGATTAAACAAATGAGGATGCTTGTCAGAAATGCCTCATGTGCCTCATGTTGATGTGCATTGAAGGTATTCCTTTATAACTCATTGGTGAACTCAAAAGATTTATAGAAATTAGAATGTACCAGATAATTAAACAAAATCGCTTAGAACTGAAAAAAAAGAAGGTAATTAGTTATTCCCCTTCTGGCTACAGATATTTGCAGTTTAGGTATTGAGTATCGAAGTACCTATAAAAACAAATATATTCAACAATATGATTTTCTTTAAATGAGATAAGAGCGGAAGGGGCAATCCTTATATGACATCAGGCCAAGGGGGGGGGGGGTCATGAATTTGTGAAAATATGTGATTAAAGAGTCTAATTTGTGCTACTAATTTGTGATGACGATGAGCTCAAATTATTGGTATGTAAAAAAATATGTTTTAATATATCCGAATCCACTTTTAAACAAGATTTTTATATGTTTTAATTTAAGCTTAAAATTATATTAATTCCCCTAAATTATTACTCCTTAAAGATAAATACAATTCTGTGCAAAAAGGAAATCTTGAATTATGAACTTTTTATAGTTGTAATAGTAAATGATAACAACTTTCTTAAATGTAATTTCTAAACAATAAGTTTTATTATGTTTAAACTGACATTTTTTTATATTTACACATGCAAGCTGCAATTTTTAAATCATCTTTTTTTAGGCACAAAAGATGTTAACCAAACTAGGAGTCCAGAATGTAGGAAAGGTAAATATACATAGTGTTGTATATTTAATTTTAATAAATAATTTTGATGTGTTTATTTAAACGGGCTTAGAAAGCAAATATCAGAACAATGATCCTCATTATGTTTGAAGATCAAACTAATTCAATGTAGACTTAACTTTTACTGATTCCTTTTGATTCAGTTATTAAAATAACTTTTAAATGTAAAATTATTTTTCTTTTCATGGTTTTTAGCTAACAGATTATGAATTATGTGTTGCTGCTAACTTGTTGGATCCTAGTTCCATGGAAATTGCTTGGGAAAATATTGGGGGACTGCAGAGTACAATAGAAGAAATTCAAGAGACTGTTATACTTCCATTCAAAAGGGCAGATCTCTTTAGAAATTCAAGTCTTCTACAACCACCTAAAGGTACAGTATTAATATTTCAATTAACATTTTTAGATGACAATATGCACAAATTTTATTTTAATGTTGTCATTAGAGACCGACTGAAAGTGATTTTATGATTTCGACTGAAACTAGGCTGAAAGTTTAAAGTGAATTTCGTCCAAAGCCGAAACCAAAAGCTTAACGAGACTTTTGGCCGAAAAACGGAAGTTGAAGACCAAATTGAAATGTTTAGATATTTTTTAATTCGTTCACATTCTGCACGCATTGAAAATAATGGGGGAAAGTATCAATATTGACATTCTTTTTATAAGAAATGAGATCATCGTGAATAGTAATAAATAAACGTTTAATACTTTGGCTTTTACCATTTTAATTTAAAATTAAAAGTAATTTAAATTTCTTTTATACATTTTTTAAAGTAGTATGGTAGGAGAAAACTTGGAGGGGGGGTTGTGAGGGCAAAACTCATGCAAAATAGTCCCTTGAGTGCCCTTTGCTTTTATAATATAATCACAACCTAGAATATATACCTACAAAATAGAGCCAATTGTCACCTAAATATCAGTTATTAAGGCTATTTATATCACAGAAAAGTTTTGCGGTTATTGTCACACGAAGGCTTTGTGTGTTTTCATAAATATTGCAAGAGATCACTATTCATATTGAGCCTAGTAACAACACACTAGTCTTTCCATGCTGGTGACGTAATTATTTCATTCGGCGACGAACCTCCCTCACCCCCATTGGTGGGGATATTATTTTTTTTAACCAGATCTCTTAAAATTGTTATTCTGACGAGTCTCTAGGAGAATCGCAAAAGAATCTAAATTGGTTGCCAAAATCATAAACGTGAACAAGTCTGCAGTAGACCTACTACATTGTTAAATATGATGCATGCACATGCATGTTATTTCATCAGAAAAACAATGTTTATGAGTACGATACGGATGAATATCTAGAAATGAATGGTTTGAAAAAGCTGAAGTTTCCTTAATGTTTTATTTAAAAGAAAAAATAATAAAAAAAAAAAAAATAAAGGAATAATTACCATTCCCTGGGATTATGCAATATTATTCACCTTTGCCTATGACAACATTGATGAATATGATAATGATAAATCAAAATGAATATCAAAAATAAAAGAATTGAATAAACCTAGGGTTCCAAATTTTATTTTTGAAAAAAATTAAAACTTAAAGAATGAGATAAACATTACCATTCCATTAGTTTTTCTTCCACAAAACTGTTTACATTTGCTTAGGCCAAATTGAAATGTAACTTTTTTTTGAAATATGGGAGAAGTAGGTCATCATGCAGCTGTGGGCAGTTTTCGCTGAGTATTAATCATATAAAATACGACGACGGCAAGACTTCAATCACTTTCGTCTGAAATACAAATTAAATTGAAATTTAACTTTGTTTCGGCTGAAACGGAAAATAGGCTGAAAGTGATCAAAAGGCAACTTTCGAAGCTGAAGCAAAAATTTGTTCTTTCTCTAGTTGTCATAAATGAACATTTAGTGTTAATTTCTTAAATATAAATATTTTTTTACTTATGTTGAAAACCTGTGCATAAAGTAAAAAAAAAAAGGATTTTGGGTTGTTAAACCTGATTGACACTTATTAGTTTAGGTTATGAACTAAATTGTTATACTACTGAATACATTCCAACATTTTTTTGTTAAAATGCTTTTCATTAAATGATAAGAATTTCTTTTGACACTCATAAATATCTATGATTAAATAAGAATACATATTTTTTTAGACCTTCATTATCTTTCAATTATTTATGGGTTAGTTGAAACAAGCTTGCTAGTGTCTCTGACAGTTTTTAACATGAGATTCATAACTAAATATAAAATCCTATGTAAAAAAACTATGCGAAGATGATTGTGATTGATATGGATAGAGTTGAAAGTGGATCAGATAGTTTGATTTAAAAACAAAACATAAAAGAACAAGAAATGAAGAGAGGAAAAGGCCTGCAGTGAGTTAATGGAAATTTGTGCCAAATGTTTGTTTGAAAACCCATTTTTAAATCTACTTACTGTTACTCTTTTACTGCATATTTCATGTTATGAACCTAATGATTTATTTTAATAATTTTTTTTAAAAAGGGATCTTGTTGTATGGTCCACCAGGATGTGGTAAAACAATGATTGCTAAAGCCACAGCTAAAGCAGCTGGTAATTTATCTCAATTTCAAATGCTATTTTAAAAATTTTTTGTTTCCTTTAAAATTTGAAATCCTGAAACAAGTGCTTTCCTAAAAAAAAAATACACTTTATAAAACCTAGTGATTAAACAAATTTGATATTATTCTTTTAGAAAGTTAAATACATTATACACTATTTCCCCAAATTCATAAAAAGGATTTATAAAAATAGGCTATATATTTTGAATCAGGTGCCCGCTTTATCAATCTACAAGTATCCACTCTTGTAGACAAGTGGTATGGAGAGTCACAAAAAAGAGCAGAGGCTGTGTTCTCTCTGGTAAGTTGTATTTTAGAACTTCTACTTTCGCCCTCTTGCTTCAGAAATGATTTAAAAAAAAAAAAATCTTACGACTTAAAATTATGAAGACATGAACGGATCATGAGACAAAATGTACAGTGTCTGCCAATCTATTGACGCCATAGAATTGCAACTTTGCCAAATTTTCAAGGTTAAGTGGGATTCAATTTTGAAATTTTTGTTTACTGCTTCCTGACACAGAATTACTAATATTCTTAAATTAAAGACAACACAATCATGAAGGGCGTGACTGAGAAGAAAAAAAACAACAGATCTTCTGCAGCTAAATGCCTGTGTTCTATTCACAATATTATTAATTCATCCAAGTATTGCTGTTTGATATCAAGGAGTTTGATTCAATTCATTTAAAAACAAATTTGAACTTTTTACATTTTCCATGACACTGATATTTGTGTGCATTTCGACCAGAATATTCTTTTTAAAAAATTTCACTGATCATCATACTTTATAAAGATTAAAAAATTATGTTTTCTTAAGGATAAACCTTAAACAGACAAACTAAACAATTACCACCACCCCCTTCAACCCCCCCCTCCCCCCCAATCAAAATTGACCATTAATTTTATTGATTGGAGTCTACAAAAAGCTGATGACAGCAGTGTTGTTGTTACAAAGTGGTTAAGCAGTTTACCCATAATAGAAGAATTTTCATATGCCTGTAAATTGATATGATGTATTTAAAAATTCTTATGACTGCTTTAAATTGCCCCAACCCTTTCTTTACTTGTTCTGTTCATTTTTAGGCAGTGAAGCTGCAGCCCACCATTATTTTCATAGATGAAATAGGTGAGTTCTTTCATATTTCTGTACAGATAACCATTTTCATATTCAATTATCGTGTTGTGTGTTGTAATGTTCTGAAACAAAATACAGTTTTGAATAATATAGAGTTTTATTAACCCATTCCCGACGGCAGTGCTACTTCCGTACATAAAATCTCTTTCAATAATTTATAGTCCAGCTCAAAGGGAAGTAACTCCCTTGTGTACTTGATTTACTTTTGTAAAATATTTGTTAAGCTGATAAATATAAATTAATATTAATGAATATAAGGATAAATGCTTCCAGAAATGGCTAATTTTTATTAAGAATGTAACATTAACAGCAAACAAATAACGAGCGATAACCAAAAAAAAAATCAGTTTTTGGCACTTTGGATGAATCTGTGCTAGTTTTATATGCATCATATAAAACATAAAACACTTTAAAAAAATTTAAAATCATGTAGAATCATGCCATTACATGAAGTCTTGAGGGCAGCGACATTGTGTTTCTATTGTAAAATTAAGAATAAAAGAGCTGCGTCGCTACGTGCTGTGATGTATTTGGATGCAATCTCTCGGAACCCCCCAAAGACTCATTTAGTCACAAATGTAGGGAATGAGTTAAGAAAGAAATGCGAACTGAACTAAAAGTGTAAAACTTCCTGATGATTCTTTACAATATTGTTTGGAGTGTTAAAGATTTAAACTTGTTACATTTAAGAAATGATCTTGAAACCTAATTTTATCATTTCTACAGATTCTTTCCTACGTTCAAGATCATCAACAGATCACGAAGCTACAGCAATGATGAAGACCCAGTTCATGAGTCTATGGGATGGTTTAACTACTGACCCTAGTCTAAGAGTCATGGTGATGGGCGCCACCAATCGACCACAGGATGTGGATGCTGCCATCTTACGGCGAATGCCAAGTCAATTTTATGTAGGAATACCTGTAAGTAAGATGTCAGCTGAACAGTATTTTTGCAACTACTTTTTAGTCTAATATATGCTATGTAGTTGATGTAATAATTTCTGGTTACCGAAAATTTGATCGAAAGAAATTTTGTCGACGGTAAACTGATCGACGGGAATTTGATGGAACGGAAATTTGGTTGAATCTTTTTTTCAGTTTATACGTTAAAATTTTCGTCAAATTTCTTTTTGAACGCACTATACTATATAGGAAAACAAAATAATCCGTTCAAAAAGAAATTTAAAGCAAAATTTTAACATTAAAGCTGAAAAAAAATTCAACAAAATTTCCGTTCGATCAAATTACCGTCTATCAATTTACCGGCGACGAAATTTATTTCAATCAAATTTTCGGATACAATAGTTTCTTATGTCTTATTTAGTATTAACTCATTTAGCCTTTAAAATGAATTATTAATTTAAAATGGGTCACTGAAATTTGGTTTTTACAAAAAGTCAAATCAATCAATTTGATAGAATACCAATTAATCTGCCTTGCTACACCAAACTATGTTGATAAGTCAGTCATTAATTATCTATGTAAGATTTTATGTATGGTGCTTTTAAAATATACAATTTAAAATTAATTAAAGGTACATTTTAAAAAATATATTATAATATTTATCTTTAAACTTAAAATTAAATAGAAAAGCAATAAGTAATAAGTTTAGAAATACAAGAGCCATTAGAACTTCAATTTTTATAATTGTAGAAGTAGTCTATCAACAATTTAAGTGAATTGTGATGTACAGGAAAAAAAGTTTATGTTTTTCTTTGTTGCAGTATCTTTTGAAGTTTTATTGTAAAAAGACTGTCTGTAAACTTACTTGTAATTCGTTTATGTACAGGACAAAGAACAAAGACAAGCCATTTTAAGGCTTATTTTGGAAGAGGAAGAGGTAACAGAAAGCTGTTTTATAATAAAAATGGAACTTCTTATTTGATATATCTGCTTGAAAATTAAAGAAATTCCAAAACTAAACTCATTTTGAAAATATGACTTTAAAAAAAGAAAGATCAGTCATTTAAAAGATATTGTTCTTTTATCAGTCATCTGTTTATGAAGCATGCAATACATTTTTTTTTTAACAATTATTTTTGTGCTGGTAATTCAATAGTAAAAATAATAAGTGTGAGATAAAACAAATCTTTCTAGAACTGTTAGAAAGTAAAGGCATTCATACTTGTTTAGATTTTCTTTTGAATGCAAAATTATGTTTTAACTACAAACTTCTTTATGCCCTAAAAAAAAACAATTATCAACAATTTACTTTTATTATATGTTTAATATTTTAGACGGAAGAGTTAAATTACGGTCATCTGAGTGAGTTGTCTGAAGGTTTGTCAGGAAGTGACCTCCGTGAAGCTTGTAGAGCAGCTGCTGTCTCTGTAGTCCACGAGTATGTACAGTTGTCAGCTAGGTAAGTATCATCTTTAGTTGTTCCCCTTTTAAATTTCACAAGAAATAAATGTTCGCAATTAAATAGCGTACAGATTTATGATAAAAATGTTTATAAATTAAGAACAGCTTAGAGTGATCTTATTCCTCCAAGCTAAATTTATTATATCTGTTTGAAAATACATTGTGCTTCTGTTACCAACTTGCAGAGAATCAGAAGGAGATGCCTCAAGTGTACTTCGTCAAATCAGTATGGCAGATCTCCAAACAGCTATTCACAAAGTAAAAATGACCAAATCCTTGACTGGTAGAATACTTCTATCTCCACCACCACCATTAGATTAAGTCTGCTCGATAGGTAAATGTAAATATTAATTTGAAAGCATTCAGTAAAAGAAACATCAAGGGTGAGATCATCACATAATGTCATAGACTGTGTTAGATCTTTAACTTGATTTACGTTTTGTTCTTTGCCAGCAAATAAAAAATAACTATTCCATCCATGTTTCCAAAAGTTGTTTTGATTCATAAATTACTATTATCTTTTGCTTCAAGGCTTTGTTATTATCCAAAGCCAATTATTTTTTGCTTCAAGGCTTTGTTATTATCCGACGCCTTGAATTATGCACTGACTGTTTCGTTAAAAACGATTGGAGAACTTGCTATTGTGACTTCTCCTGACCCCCTACAAATTCTTTGAGTTTTCTCCCACTCCCTACAGCTTGTTTTACTAAGTCTCACACCTCCTACAAAAGCTACAGGGAACTTTAAAATTTAGGGGAATTCTAATTTTGTTATTGAAATAGCAAAGAGTGTTGTGGAGCTTAAGTAAATAAATCTTTGACTTATCACATAACAGAAAATGTTATTGATGAACTATTTAAAAATGAAATGTATATTTATAATTTAAAGGCTAATGTCTACACTTTTCTTATAATCTCCTTTCCTCACACTTCTTGGAATGCCTGCTCACACCCCAGGTGGGGAAACACTGACTTAAACTTAAACTGTTTGCAAAAATAACTGTCTTAAATATTTTTAATGGACATTTTCTTTTGCTGCTGTTTATTGTAAAAAATAAATTTTGAGCAAACGTTCATTAATTTAAGTTAGATATTGCTAAATATTTTCAAAATTAGCTTAATAAAATCCAAAGTTTTAGTCATTTCAGACAAACATAATTTGTTGTAAGAAATGGCATTGTGGACTTTGGGGCTTGTAAGCTCTTAGCATGTAGAAAAGAATTTCTTACTTATTCCATCAATACATTTAATAATAAAGTGTTAAAAAAATAGGACATTGATTGACTGACTCTTTAATTTTATTTTAATCCCATTATTTTATTGTTACATGTTTATGTTAGCACCAATTTTATTTGTAAGTTTTAGGTTTAAAAATTTCAACTTAATTTGTTTGGGAAACTTTCTCAACCTCTACAGATTAGGTTTTGAATTTTTGGCTTTGACATCATTATGACCTTGACTAGTTGCAGGTTTCTTAAAAAATGACAGAAGTCTCTTGCTTTTTTCATTTTCATGAAACAAAGTCTTTCCCTTGAATTTGCTTAGGCTAGAGCACATTTAATATTAAGACTATAATATGCCTTTGTCATGTTTAGATTTTATAGAGACTTGAGCCCCATTCAGACAAAAATTTATGAAATAGCTTAAGGCCATAAAGAAATATTCAGAAAAAATGTATGATGTGGCTTCAGAAACACTCAGGATATAATCTTATTTGCTGTCACAGAATGATATGCATGTAAAGTCATAGTGAAAGGATTATTTATCAGACTTATGTTTGGTGATTAATATGAACAAAGTGATTACATGGACCCAGAGATTTGATTAAAATTTTTGTTGCATTTTTTTTTTCCATTGGTAGGCTGGTGTATTAGCAGTGCATTGGCCCTCAACCTTGAATTAATGGGCTATGGAAATTTCTGTGATATCTGTTTCATTAGTGTTGTTTAAATTTTGTGTTTAAAAAAATCACATTTTGGGCTGGGGATATAATCTTGCTTATATGAGACTAAGAAATTCTATAGAGGATATGTGAAGATTTTCATTCTTTGACAACACAGGTGTTGAGTGTCTATGTTTAAGTGTAAGGAGAGGATCTGCCAGATTTCTTATTGTTACCTATATTGAAGGTGGGGGAAAGATGGTTGTACTTGTACCCTAATGGTATTTTGCAAGTATCGGGTTGGTGCCATATTTAGGTTATAATTGCCGTCATTGTTTTATTGTTGAAAAGGTGTTGGTCATTTCCAGATTTGGGGAAACATTACACATTCTACTCTAAGCAGCTTATGTTGGCCTATCAAAATGTGTCTCTTAAATGTCCAGCATAGTATGTTAAGTGGATGTGTAATGGGACTTGTGTTGTGGCCCGTGTGTTATGGGATATAAATCAGATATAAAACCTTTCTAAATTGGAGAATATGCTATGACAAGAGGGAAAACAACCTGTGAGTGACATACGTTTGGCGTAGTTTTCACCAGTCTGGAAGGTATAATTTGATGTTTATTGTTCTGTACAGCTGAGTTGTAGTTCTATAGTTTCTATAGTTTGAATGTTGTGATCTTTGGAGAAACTCTCTTGTCCAGTGCTTTGTGCTTGGTTGTACAGAATGGGTGATTTGTGCTTGGTTGTACAGAATGGGTGATTTGTGCTTGGTTGTACAGAATGGGTGATTTGTGCTTGGTTGTACAGAATGGGTGATTTGTGCTTGGTTGTACAGAATGGGTGATTTGTGCTTGGTTGTACAGAATGGGTGATGTGTGCTTTCATGATGTACTACGTGTAACAGTGCCATTTTTTGTATTTTGAAATAAAGATGCAGAATTTTTGTGCGACTTGATGTTTTGTGAGTTTTTTGACTTGGTGTTTTGTGACGTGATGTTTTATGACGTGATTTTTTTTTTTAATTTAGGTTTTGATGTTTTGTAACTCGATCTTTTGTGACCTGATCTTTTGTGACTTAATTTTTGCCTACATGGGTTCTTTGGGCATAGCTGTAATCTTTAACAGAATTGTCCCAAGGACTACAATGCGTGGGTGGAAAGCTATCCAAGATTTGGATGCCAGTTCTATGCTCAAATTAGACGACAGTCACGCTAATAGATAGTGGGTGTGACCAGGAAAACAAAACTCCTAGTATATTCAGTTGGGAGAAACATTCCAACGGCTGTCCACTCCCCACCCCCCTCCAGTCAGGCTCTGAGACTGGCAATACAAACTTTTGGTGTAGGTGTCTTCAGTTGTTGTTTTTTTTAATTCGGGCCATCCATCCCCTTGTGAAATGTCCATCCCTGATGGGATGAATAGAAGGCCAGTGAGGTATTTAAATTGAGACGTTAAGTCTCGCCCGGGCAGGAGACGTTCAATGGTTCCCCCCCCCCCCTTCCTTTTTTTTCAAGACGCCTGACTTCGACAATGCAACTAAACGGTGCAGGAGACGTTCAATGGTTCCCCCCCCCCCTTCCTTTTTTTTCAAGACGCCTGACTTCGACAATGCAACTAAACGGTAGTCTCCCCTTTAATTATCTCCCCTTTCCTCAAAGGGTATTTATCGCCGGTCCAAAGTGGCTGTGTTACAGTTTTGTTTTGGGTATTCCCCCACCCCCACCCAATCCCTTAAAGACAATTTAACCAAGGAAATTAAACATTGGGAGATTTCCAAAGAATCTGGTCAAGCTCAAATACACTGAGATTGCCAATCAATAAAGAAGAGTACAGCAGGACAGCACTAAGACGGCGACCTTGTTTCCATTCACGTTTCCCAGTCTCTGGTGATTTCTTAAATATACACTATTTATTATCATCAATAAAACCCACCCATCACAGACTAGCTTACCATAGCAAAATCAAACCCACCCATCACAGACTAGCTTACCATAGCACAATCAAACCCACCCATCACAGACTAGCTTACCATAGCACAATCAAACCCACCCATCACAGACTAGCTTACCATAGCACAATCAAATTCGCGCATTTAAAAGTATTACAAAGAACACGTAAACATAGAATCAAAGCAAATATCACTAACCAGAAACCGGATGATAGATTGTAGATAATGCGAAAGACGTATCGTTCCATAAATAGATGAATAAGGATCGATGTTCTGATTGTTATGAAATTCAATTCACACAGTCATTCAGCTCCATTAACATTTGACCCAACACATCCAACTCCATTGACTGATCACATCCAGCTCCATTAACATTTCACCCGACACATCCGACTCCATTAATGTTTACTGAACACAGACAGCCCCACAAAAATGTCACGGACAACATCCAGCTCTGCTACCCACACATTCAGCCCCATTAACGTTTCATCCGAAAAATTCAGTTCTACTAAAATTCAAACCAAAGCATCCAGCTCCGCTAGCAACACATAAGCTCCATTACTAAAACAGTCAGCTGCGCTACCATATCACTCAGCTCCGGTACCAAATCATTCAGCTCCGCCAGCAACACATTAAGCTCTACTAAAGTTTGAACCAACCCACACAGCTTTTACTTGGCCAGCCGTTGTTTCCTGCAAACGCCAAAACTTTGATTACAAACTAACAATGTATTGTATGTCAGGGGCAGTCTCCCCGCTTGTATTAGGAGTCAGATATTATTTCGAAGTCTGGCCGATGGAATAATAACCAGAGTCCATAGGACTTATAGTAGGAGATCACATTCATTTACTATGTGTGATCCTTGAGGATTCGTCCCTCCAGTGGGGGGGGGGGCACCTAGAAATCTGATCTCGGTAAGGGTAAATGGCATAACGTTACTAACATTCATATTTTGGTTGGGGCTTGAGCTAACGCTCTTAAGGCCCCGACTATTGCAGTGACAACCTGCTCCATCTGTTTGGGCGTCGCCAAACCCCCCCCCCCCCCCCCCACAAAAACCCACTGTCTGAACGCAGGAAATTCCCGGCCGCCTTGGCAACCTCAGCAACATCCTATGCGGGGCGCAGAGTCAGCAGGTGCGCTATTTTTATTTTCCTCCTGGGACCAGCGTGCAATGCCGAGAGGTCGGGTCCTTGATGTTGCTCAGCCTTTTGATGTAAGAGTTAGTATAGGGCAGTGCTCCGTTCTCCTTGGGGTTACCAGACTCTGGTGTCAGCGTCCCAGTTTCCACCAGGGGTCAGTTCACTACGGTTGGGGCATGTTGGCGTCTACAGCCCTGGCCTTCATGCTGTCTGCTCAAGGCCCATACCACTTTTTTCTAAAGCCAGCCAATTTTTGACACAGAAGTAAGTGACTGAAGTTTCTGGTTAGGACTGGGCAGGCCCGGTTTATGCCAGTGTCTGCTTTTTTTCATAGCACTTGGCGTTTAGGTGGCTTGGAACCTATTGCACTGTTAACTTGCCTCTGATTTTCCCCCTCTTGTCCAAGGAAAAACGAATTTGATTGCTTTTTCTTAATATGATATGTTGTTTTTGCTCTTTGCATGCGAAGATGACCAATACTTTATTACTCAGTGAGTACGCAGGTGGCCTGCTAGTACTATTTGTGCCCGAAAATCTTTCCCGCAAGTGGGGACACACGTTGTTTGGGTCCTAGTAGGATTTGAGTCGATTCTGATTTTCCTTGCAGTGCGCTTTTGTTGTGAGTGAAGCACTTCTTCTATCCTTCTCCTCCATTAAGGTGAACAAAGGTGGTCGCAAAAATGGTAGCTTAGGCACCAAGAGGTAATGGCCCTGACATGTGCTTTATTTTGATGTCAGTGAAGGAGTGATGCGCAATTTGTCACCTTCACTCTCTCATCACTGCCTGTTTTGACCAAATCAGTGGGGTAGACATGGGCAAAAAAATATAGGCCCTAGGTTTGCTTGCCTATTCATGGGTCATTTTTGAATGTATTGTAGAGAGGGAATATACTGGTTGTTTTCCTGAATTTTATAGGAGATAAATAGATGACGGCATGGGTATCACCAGCATGGAAACTAATGATCTCCAAAAATGTATGGATTTTTAAAACTCATTTCATCCATCCAATAAAATATACTTCTCAAATATCTGGACATTCTGTCAACTTTCTCGATATCACCATAACATTGAAAGAAAAAGAATTTTTTTTATCACATCTGCCTACTACAAACCAACTGACAGCCATAGTTACATATTGTACTCATCGTCCCACCCCAAATCATGCAAAGAATCTATACCTTTCGCACAACTTCTAGACTACAGCGTCTCTGCCAACTTGATGAGGAATTTTTGGGTAAGAGCTGATGAAATGATGAATTTCTTCCGCTTCAGATCCTATACTAAAACTACTCTTGTCTCGGCACTAGGTCACATCAGCACTATCACTCACATCAGCACTATCACTCACATCAGCACTATCACTCACATCAGCACTATCACTCACATCAGCACTATCACTCACATCAGCACTATCACTCACATCAGCACTATCACTCACATCAACACTATCACTCACATCAGCACTATCACTCACATCAAGACTATCACTCACATCAACACTATCACTCACATCAGCACTATCACTCACATCAGCACTATCACTCACATCAGCACTATCACTCACATCAGCACTATCACACGGAAAGGTGCTTTCAAACCTCGTCAAAACAACAATGAAGATCATAACAAAATTATACTAACCCAATTTAACTGCCAAAAAAATGTTCCTAAAAAAGCATAGCTTACTCCTTGCTGACCCCGAAACTAACAGGGTATTCTCATCCCCTCCACCGATTGTCTTTAGACGGGACAAAAATCTAAGTGACCTTCTGGTTCACAGTAACCTTTGATCTGAGCTGTCTTACTTTGGAACTAAAACATTCTTAAGAAGCCGCTGTAGGACTTGTCCCTTTACACTCCAAACTGAAAGCATTAGCCTCCCTAAAGGACACTTTACCATTAAAGAGGGTTTCACCTGCGCGTCAGCCGTAATGTAATATATGCGATTGTGTGACGTAGATGCCAATCTAGTTACATATTATAGGTAAAACTGGGAGCAGATAGGCTGATATGTTCACTGACCATCTCCGGGTTAATTTTCCCCAGACTCTTCACATTTCAACAGAGATGAACATAAATGTGCATTAGATGTAACGGCACTGATTTCCTGCACTAACACACCAGAGAGGGTTAAAATGGAAAATAAATTTATTCAGCTGTTTGTCCCCATATCTCCATATGGTATTAATCAAATACTATCTTGCTAATATTACTCTGTTTCCCGTTATTACTAAAATATTCTTATTGCTGTGTTTTTATTTATCCCTGGATATTTTGGTCGATTATTATTGTGGGCCTTATTTTTCACAGTGTCAATATTTATATTCACTTCCTGTAATTCTGCTTCTGGCAACAATAATGGATATTTCTTGAGTTGTTTACTGTGATCTGTTCCTTGTGATATTTTCACTTGTCCTGTGCGCTTAAGAAGGCTCTATACCGAAGCGTTCAACTCTTATTGTCGTGTCCTTTAATTCAAGCTTCAACATACCCCGTTTTGCTACTTCATTCTGTTTTGATCCACTGGCAAGACTTAGCCAAGACGACTGGAAAGAGACCAAGATGCAGTGGGTGACCAGCAGTGGTTTCTTGTGTCTTACTGGGAACTTGACGCGTTCCTCCTTAAGGTGTATCTGCTTTTTTCACCCATGGGATCAGGTAATAATATCTTTTTCGTTTTCCACCAGGGCCAGTCTCCACGTGGTACACCACGTTCAGTCTTCCCATGCGA